CTACAATCTACAATCTAGACATTTGATTTATGAAAAACACGTAAAGATTGTAACAGATCATTATGCCCTTTGCTGGCTCAAATCTTTAAAGGACCTAACAGGCCGACTAGCTATAATAGGTGGTTATTTAAGCTGTCAGAATTTGACTACGTAATAGTGCATAAGAGAGGAATAACGCACAGAGACGCCGATTGCATCAGTCGCTACCCCGTACTGCAGCCTCAACCGGAAGAAAATCTCGAGGAAATACCTATATATACTATGAGATTCAGAAAGGGAAATCTAGCTCAGTAAAGAAAGATATAGTTCATGTGAGTAGAATACTACCCTATTATGACCTATGGATTCCAGAGGCTACTCCATTGAGACTAATATATTTTTTTTTCAGAAAAATATCGCATATAACATTGAAATCCCTCAAAATGAATCATATCGATCGAATGAACAAAACCACATTACCAATGATTTAATAATGCAGTTCCTTGAAACATTAGAATCGTTTTTTGCTTACCTTGATCTCACGTTTGCCGGTAATATCGGTAATAAAAAGCCCTTTGGCTCCGTGGTGGCAGAGCATACGGTGTCAAACACCGTTTTGGAACAACCACGTGGTGTACGTTGATCGCCAGCTGCCACACCGCGTACAAAACGGCCGCGTAAAGGGCCAAACGAACTCTATAAGTCGCCCAAGTTGGTAAGTATAGAGGGTTCGCTTTAACCTGCACACGGTACACACCCCAACGGCACGGTACGAGTCAGGGTCCATTTCGAAATAAATATAATTGTGAACGTGAGAAATAAATTACCTGATAAAAACCAATCAGCGAAATGTCGCATTAATTGGAAGCATCATCAGTTCAAAGCTCCTAAACACTTTTTTTTTTCAGGAATCATGGAAGATGATAATGCATTTCTGAAATAGCAGAATCGGCTAATTACATGAAATAAAGACTATAACATTTCACAGTTCAAGAAACTTTCAACCTCGTATCTTATTTCATTAGCTTCAAGCATATTCCTATAGTTATTAAGCTTACCGAACAAAAATATATACAGGTACATTCTTTTTTTTCTTTCAAGGACAATATAGGTACATAGAATATAGAACATAGAATATAGAAATAAAAAAAAGAAAGGAGAAAAAAAAAAAAACTGGGTAAAGAATAGGTAATAGACAAAAACTGAACCGGAGGGTTTATTATTTATCAAAGGAGTTCTTCACAATTATGTACATATTTCATTATTTAATAGGTGGATATGGAAATATCCTTCTCATTGTGTTTTATTTAAGCTAAATTATCTTTTATTCAGAATCGTAAGTTTCAAACTTTTCCAATGTCTCATGGGTGAGACGAGGGTGAGACAAATGGAGGACATAACGTAGAGATCAGTACAGGGGCAGAAAGTTGTACGAGGGCACAACTGTCCAGCAACTAGTCTAATATTTGCACCTGCTTCATATTATTCATCCTCTACTTGATTCTACGATTTACTTACCTATTTCCCAAATGGACCTCGAAGAAACCCAGAAATAACAGACAAACAATTGAAGAGAAAGACGAAGAGACTAACGCACAAAAAGAGAACTTAACAAACGCCCTCGAAGAATAATTTCGAACTAAGTCTTGAGTCAGAATACATTAAGATATAGTCTTGAAATTATAGACGATAAAGACATCCGATCCCTGTCCCCTGGTGATAAAGTAAAAGCTGAAATAAAGCTTCTTGAAGTAAATAATTGAATGCCCCATGTAAACGGAGTATTCCTGAGATACTTAAGTATGCCCTACTTATCTCAGATTTTTAAGAAATAATTTATTAATTTTGAAATATTGAAGAATTTGTTAAATACATAATAGGTATACCTACCTAAATATAATTATGCGCACTAGTACAAACATATTTGCTTTTTTATTAAGTCTAAACCATGAGAACTCCAAAAATTGGTTTAAGAATAAATATCAGAGTAAATAGAAAAAAAAAATGTACTTGATTTTTATGCAGGCCTGACGTGAATAAAGAAATAAATATATAATAATTATATAAAATATACAAATCGATGTATAATAAATAAGTTTAGAAAAAGGATTGTAGGTAGGGGACAGAAGGGCATACAACTGGATCGGAATGTTCTGAGAAATCCTACGACAAAATTACGAGATTTTTTTTTTTGAACTATTCAGTAACTCATTATTTTATTTTCCTTTCTGTATGAAAATAAACTTGAATACGCATTATATAAAGCGTAAGGCAATGTGCTTATTACTGCAAATATTTGGTCAAATCGTCTTTGCCTTAACCTATCAAAATACATTTAACAATGGTTACATTTTTTTTATTATTAATTTTTTTTAGTTGGTTTAAGGTTTTCATTTACTTATAGGATATAGGCTTAATTAATAGCGCATACTTACACTTTGCTCTTTTTTCATGTGAAATACCTGCCAATGCAACGCCTTTCCAGCCATGAGGATACCACCTTCCAACATCAAGACTCCAAGATCGTTCAACAGGAGACCACTACATTGACCACCAACATTGATGCACACACGTTCAGGACAAATACCTGTAATTTATTTCATTACCTGATGCACCTGGCGCATTGAATTCAGCAATTCAAGTCAATGTCAAATGGTTCTTCGATGCAGTGAAGATCCAGAAATTCAGGACGACAGAAAAATTCGAGACGCAAAGACCTCGATAGCATTGACCAGACACTGATAACCATCCATGGGGGATGAAAATCACCGCCCAAGATTAGGAAATGTCAAGCCTAATTCCGGGACATACAAGTTTACCATCACCCAGCAGTACCAGTCATAATGCACCATCAAAATTAAACAAATAACATGACCTAGACCAACCAGGATGTAGGTCAAGTTCAAGCCACTAAGCCTGAGCACCGTCGTATCGTCCGCCGTCCGCAAAGCAACTTGGCGCTTGGCGGGAACTATCGATCGAACACAGATTGATCGAACTTTGTGTACCAAAGTCTAGTAAACTCCATACTCCACTCCCTGGACTCATCATTTGTTACCAGTAAGAGTAATGCCATATGGTCACATTGGTCACAACGCATTCAAATTACAATCCGAAAAATGACAATACAATGGTTTGGAAGCTACGCCAAAACATATCAGACGCCGCTAGCAGCAAGCCGGTCAGATAAAGCACCAGTCAGCGAGACGAAAAATCAGCAAATGAACAGGACAGGAATAGGCACACTTCAATTCCATCTATCAATATTTTTAATTTTCTTTAAGCGTTTTGCCAAGGTAATCAATTTTTTTTCAATGTATACTTAATTTTCATTATTTTTTTTTTATGTGTAGGTATTTTTTTATGTATTGTTTCGTTTTATTTGGGCTGGTAGGTGAAGGTAAAAAAAAATAACTGTGATTAGGGAATTCAAAACTTTTGTTTTAATTTTTTATATAATAAGCTTAAACTTGTTTCATTCGAGTTTTTTTTCATTTTTACTGATTTTATAATACCTACCTATCTACCTACCACTCCTAATTTTATATTTTTATAAGAAATGTACTTAGGAAAATTTAAAATATTTTAACTTGTAGCTTTTAGTATTTAATTTTAATTATTGTTAACTTGTATTGATTTTGCTCTGTTTTTATAATTATGTTTGATTTTTCGATTTGAAATCTTTTTTTCAGGATCCTTTATCGCTGGAGTCCAGCTTTCTGTAGTCCGAGGGAAATGTCAAGCAAAAAAATATCACCCTTTACAACATTATTATTTCAACACGAAATAACCAAAGTTCATTGACAAGTAATGTCCCAATTTAGTTAGGTAATACGGATATTGTATTGAATAAAGCAAACGCATCAAAATGTTAGCAAAAAAGCTTAAAGCCAATGATCCAGGTTTTAGGTCAACGATTTTTGCTGACATTTCTGAATCGATTTGGATCGGTAAGGCATCAATTTTAAGTCACTTGAAAATCTAAATTCGGGCGCTGAAGTTGTGCTACGGGCTACAGAAAGATGAGTCTCCGGTAAGTACAATTATTCAACATTTATAAATGATGTCTTGGTGTTCTCAATGTTCTCATTGGGTAGTTAATTAATCCTTTAGTTGTAGTAAATAAACTTAATTATTCTTAATGCTTTGGGACTTGTTTCAATTCATTAAAACCCCAAAAGATCCCAAACCCCCGTTGCAGCGAAATAGGCTCATGACAATATACACTATCCCCTTTTGGGGAGCCCGTGCACTGCCCATCCAAGAACACAGTATAGGCGACTTTTTATCCAGAATGTTCTTCTTACCCTACCTTCTCTTTCATCCTGGAAACTGCACGAAACGTAGAAACCAACACTGAATCAAGCTTCAAATATTTTTCTATTTAATCAGTGAAAATGAGCAGAGCCCCCCAACACAACAGCGAGTACATCAGACCCGTCAAAGTAATGGTTTTCCTATCTCCTTGCCGATACCTCAGTAAGATCTGGTTAAGAGGTCAATCAGCTAAAATGGCCTCAAAATATACAATAATATTGGTTTGCAGATTAGAAATGCTTCAACACTAGGGTCTTTCCGGAGATCACTAAGTGCATTCTTATTATGGAATGGTTTGTAGCCTATTGACTTCAATTTCCGTTCAATTTTCAATTAAGTATTTAGTTTTTGAGCACACTTTGTTAATAAGATATACCTATATTACTTGTTACTTGGACTTTTCATCATCATCATCATTCAAAGCTAAGATGAAAGTTTCTACAATACAAATAGGTAGGTACCTACTTATATATTTTAAGTAAATTCTAACTTCAATTTTCCCGTTAATAATGACTCAAATTTCACAACAATAAACAGTTATCTAAATTTATTTACTAAAATGATTCACTTATCATCAGTGTATAGTTACGCTGTCCCAAATAATTTCATTCTAAGTCGAACTGATAAGTTGATAAGGATTATAACACCTTATCTCTATTACCTGATTACAATTTTGTGTGATGAAAGTTTAATGCTGTTTTGTGTAGTGATGAAAATGAAAAATGGTGCATCCTACCGAATTGTTAAGGACAGATTCGACAGGTGACGAGGGTAGTTTTGTAGCCCCTGTAGGGGACTACAGAAACGATGTCGATTGCGGCTGTAGCGCTTTACCGTGCTTAACTGAACGATTGAACTTAGAAAAATATGCCAAACCTAAGTATTTTATTATAGTGCTATCACTAGTGGGTGTTTTTAATGGGATTGCTGTCAAATATTTCCGGGGAACTTCACAGATATGGAGTCAGCATTACGATATACCACAGGATACAATAGGTGAAAATCTAATGATTAAGGTTATTTTTGTTTATGGTTTATCATTTTAGATTGGTTAATTTATATAAATGAAGTTTTTGTTGGAATTTTCGCTTTACTTGTCGCCTATTGGGGTAATAGGATACATAGGCCAACTTGGTTAGGTGCCCTAACAATTTACCTTGGAGTATCCTGTATTACTTTGGCAATACCAGAAATTTACCAGCCATTTAATAAGGATGAAACTAACATTAGTGTTGTAAATGGTAAGGGACATTTTATTTTATATCTTATCCTCCTAAGGTTTTTAATCGTGATTAGGTTTGCTTGTTTACTGGTTTATCTTGTTGGTTAACGCAATTTTTTCTACTGACTATTCAAACAAATTAATTGGGTTGGTACCTAAGGAATTGTTTAATTTTTACGTTCTTAGGCTACTTTGTAGCCGAAATATTTGGAAAAAGGACATCAGGAAATTGAAAAATTGATAAACTCAAGATATTATTCTTCAAAGTTTTCAAAAATCATAAAGTAGCTAACTTAGTACTAAAATAATGAAAACTTGAAATGTTTTTATATTGAGATTTTGTGTTTTATTGATCATTTGGGATTCCCCATCTCCATACACTGATTTATTCTGAGATTTGGAGCCGAAATATTTGAAGCAAAGACGTCAGTAAATGGCAAAATTGATAAATTCAACCCCACATTGCTTTTAACGGGATTTTATCTCAGGAACTATAAGTCCAAATAAGCTGAAATTTTCAGGGATTGTAGTCCTCTAATGGGATAAGAATCGCTGAAAGTTTCAGCTTTCTATCTCTAATAGAATTCAAGATATGAGTCTTCAAAGTGTCCAAAAACAGAAATCATAAGGTAACTAACTTAGTACTAAAATGATGAAGTAGCAAATTTTTTTATGTTGAGATTTTGTATTTAAATGATCATTTGGGATCCTCCAAACTCCATACGCTAAATTATTCTGAGATTTGGAGCCGAAATGTTTGAAACAAAGACGTCAGTAAATTGCAAAATTGATAAATTCACCCCACATTGCTTAACGGGATTTTATCTCAGGAACTATAGGTCCAAATGAGCTGAAATTTTCAGGGATTGTAGTCTTCTACTGGAATGAGAATCGTTGAAAGTTTCAGCTGTTTATCTCTAATAGAAAAAAAGTTATGATTTTTCAAAGTTTTTAGACATCTGAATCATAAGGTTTCGAAAATGATGAAATTCCAAATTTTGCTTGGGGACCCCGAAACTCCATACATTAAACTATTCCGAGATATGAAGCCGAATTCTATGAAAAAGGGCACTCAGGAAATTGAAAAATTGATAAATTCACCCCAAATTGCTTAACGCGATTTTATTTCTGGAGCTATATCCAAATCAGCTGAAATTTTTTGGGATTGTAGTCCTTTACTGGGATAAGAATCGCTGAAAATTTCAGCTTTCTATCTCTTGGAGAAAAAAGTTATGATCTCTCAAAGTTTTCAGAGATTTAAATCATAAGGTAGTAGGTACTAAAATAATGAAATTTCAGTTTTTTTTTTTGTGTTGGGATTTTGTGTCTGAATGATCATTTGGGACCTTTCAAACTCCATGCACTATTATTTTGAGATTTGGAGCCGAAATATTTAAAAAAAGGACGTCAGTAAATGAAAAATTGATAAATTCACCCCGCATTGCTTAACGCAATTTTATCTCAGGAACTATAAGTCCAAATGAACTGAAATTTTCAGGGTTTGTAGTTCTCTACTAGAATAAAATCGCTGAAAATGTCAGTTTTCTATCTCTAATAGAATTGAGTTTTCAAAAATCATGGTGTGAAATGCTAACGCAACTGTCCATACCAACTTTGATTTCGCTCACTTCTAAAATCTTTTTCAGGAAGAATCTTATGCCAAAACAATCGATTATCAGAGCTAACTGATCTTTCGCTAAACATAAACAACCAAATTGTAGCATTCATAATTCTTACATTGTACCAAATCCTATTTGCTCTCTATACAATCTCGTTTATTACACATGGAGTTACCTACATTGATGATAACATATCTCCTGGTCAGAGTCCAGCATATATTGGTAAGAATTTTCCATATACTTATGTGAAAAATATTCTTAGGAATTTTGTAGCTTTGGTGTTTGCTGCACAACGAATGGGAAAACAAATGGGCATTTATAGTGCTTGGATGCCCTTTCTTTATAACAGTCAAAGCATTTTTGTGTCAACAAGTGAGTACTTGAATTTAGTTTTCCTTTTATATTAATACTATGTTCTAGTTTGGCTCATTGTTGCTGCCCATGGTATATTATACGGAATCGTCTTAGCCATGTTTCCTAAAATTATGCCAAATACCTTACTAAGAAAGTCTGTCAATTCTCTTTTAAGCCTTGCTTCAGGAAATCCTCCTACTGAACCAAAACAAGCGGTAGATGGTAATAGTTTATTTTATACCTTTAATTCGGGTAGGGATTGAAAGAAACTTTGTTTGTGGGTGGTACTTTTAATTCATGTTTTGAGGGACTAAAGTGGTATTTTAAGTTTAGTTTATAAGAAAACATTTTTGTTTTCTATATTAATATAAATTGTAGCATGTTTCTCTAGGTTTTTTTATAAGTCTATGGCGAGTCCTCAAAAACAAAGTCCTACTCCTCAACATCATCACAATGATGTTCATGCAAGCTGCAATTGTTAACTTCAACATGAAAGAAAAACAGTTCAATCAATCCAAATATCACGTATCCAGATACAATGATGCTTCAGGGTATAGCGACCCGATGCTAATACAATTCACAACCAACTATTTAAAACAACCCCTAATAGCGGTGGCTTATATCAGTGTTGGAATGGCTATTGCTAAAATGCAACCAAGTCCAAAATATTTAGTGCTTTGGAATATCAAGGTTTTCGTTATGGTTTTAATTGGGTTTGCAGGAATTAGATTTTTGAATTGCACCAATAAGCTGAAGAACGAGCTAGAAGGGAAATTAACTATTCCATATTGTAGCTGGGATTGTGGATGTTCTTTGGATGGACCATTTCAGCCTATATGCCTCAATGCACAAACTAGATTTTCGCCTTGTTGGGCTGGATGTACTTCCTTTGATCCATCTCTAAAGGTACTTGATTTGATTCCATAGATATCATCATAATTTATTATTGTCTAGATATACAGTAACTGTACTTGTGGTGAAAACGGTAAAACAGTAGCATCAGAAGGATCATGTGACGCAGACAATTGCAGCACTTATTGGACATTAGCGCAAGCTCAGGGAGTGATATCTTCAGCTTTATTGGGTACCACCTTCATCACCTCATTAATTATTAATCTTAGATGTGTTGCCAGTAAAGATAAAGCTCTAGCAGTAGCTTTGCACTTGACATTTTTAAGCATATTTCCTTATCTGCCTGTTAAGGCTATCTATGATGCTAGTGCAGGTAAAAATTCACTATTTCTAGTTCATATATTATGCAATATCATCAATATTTATTTTCAGATTACTTTTGTCAAATGTGGGGGCAACATTCGTGTCAATTTCACTCAGACAATTTTGCATTGTTTTTGGTTATAACCACCCTCGTTTTAAAGACTATGGCAATTTTATTATCAATAGCATTATTTTTCTTTGTTGGAAAAATTGAGCTTTATACTAATAGTATTTCTAGAAGAAATTCCAATGTTAGTTTTCTTAGAAGACCTGGGTTATTACAAAATACTAATAACCCAGAAGTTCCAACTACAAGCAATCAAAACAGGGAAAATGATGATACAGATTCTGAATCTGGAGAGGCCTCAGCTCTAGTTCAAGGTCCAAGTGATATTATATTGAGAAACAAACAAAAAAGTGAGAGTAAATTGGATAAAATGGTAGATAGATCCAGCAAAAATGACAGAATAATAGCTTACCTAAGCGAAGGCGATTTAGTGCCGCCATTAAAATCGAATTTGAAACTAGGCAAATCTGCTTCTAGAACTTCAAACTCTAACAATTCGGCTTTGTCTACGGATTCGTCACTTTCAGCTATAGCTAATACAGTGGGGGATGATCATGATAGTGATTTTTCTAGTTTACAACGACCGCAGAGATCAAAGTTACAAGATGTGGTGTCTTCACATCCTAGGAGCAAAAAGGTGCCTCAGACTCAGCATAGTTCGAATAGTGGTCATATTACAGAAACTGAATTCTGAAATGTGTGTCGTACATTCCTAGATTATATTTGTTAGTATGTATTTTGAGAACGTTATTCCCTCTAAATTATTTAATAAAATGAAAAAACTATAATGAGTACTTACGATGAATAAATTAATGTTAATGTTAAGTTATGAGTATCGCAATATCCTCAAAAAATTAGTCGGAAAATGTCAAGTTTTCTGAACAAAAAGGTAAATCTATTTATTAGGAGTAAAACACTCAACATGGCTTTGTTACAGGTAAATCAATTTTGATATTGGCATCTCTCAGAAAACCTTCAATCTTCTTAAAACCTTTTTAATAACTAGGAAATAAACTGTATGGGTGGGTAATGAACTCTCGGAAGTTTATACTGGAGCATCTGGTGTTCCCCAGGGAAGCAATATCTCACCACTACTTTTTTCCATTTTTATTAATGATGTTGTCAATTATATAGAAAACTCTGAATGCCTTCTTTTCGCTGACGATTTTACGATATTTGAAGTCTCTTTTGGACAAGATTGTACTAAGTTTCAAAATGACTTGCAGAATGTGATTGAATGGTTTAAAAATACGCTGTGTCTAGCCTCCCGACACCGGTATTCATATGAATCCCGGTTATGACGCGTTTTCAATGACGTCATCAACAACCACCGGTAACTGTTGTGGATCCCGGCTATTGCAATAGATGTTAATAATTATCATGTTCATTGGTATTGGGGCAGAAATATTATGTAGGGTAAAAAAAGTAAACGAAGTCGGGCGCGATAAACTTTTATTTATGGGAAATAAAATTATGACTTTTATTATATGTACATAGAATGCATAGGTATAATTCGATCATAAGTATAAATTCTGGAGTAATCACTACAACTTTTTGGTATCAATTGTTCATGCACAGCTTACATTCCAAACAAATCTAATTTTTAGAAAAGTTTTGTAATTATTTAACGTTGTTCATTTGATATGTCTCCATAGAAGGCATAAAAGATCATACATACAGCATTTCGCAACGGGTGATTTCGAGTTCGACTTAGAATGATTTCGCTGAATTGTACAGCATTTTGGAAGTCTGTTCAGCATTGGATCTTGTACAGCAACGCCGTTATTATTCAAAATCACACCAGGTTGCCTCAAAATTAGAGGTTAATATTTCAACTGCGACTTCTACATCTAAAATTAAGAGCAAAAGTTCCCATAAACATAGGTCCGAAAGTACCCTATTTCAAAGATATAGGGTGTTAAAAAAGCTTTAGTCCCGAACAATAAATGAAAATAAACCATACCTTCACTATTCCCTTTTTAAACCACTACTACAAAAGCTATTCCGGAATTATTTACAGCCTCAAGCAGCAAGAGAAACACGACTTTTGAATCTTGAATCCAATAGCCGGGATCCACGATAAATCCCGGCGGTCGTTGATGACATCATTGAAAACGCGTCGTAACCGGGATTCGTATGAATACCGGTGCCGGGAGGCTAGACACAGCGTTAAAAATAACATGTTTTTAAATATTGATAAATATTTTGCGGTTACTTTTCTCGTCGTAAGAACATCATTAACTAAATATCAAAATAATGGAACGGAACTGTCTAGGAGGAATGACTGTGGGGTTCTTGGGGTCACTTTTCAATCGAATTTTAGATTCAATTTCCATTATCAGCAAATCGTCAACAAAGCGTTCAAATGCCTAGAGTTTATAATTCGCAACACAAAGCATTTTTACCAGATTGATACTATAGTAAAACTCTATTGGAATATACATGTGTAGTCTGGTCCCCAGTTGCTGAGTGTAATAAGAATTTATTAGAAAAGGTCCAGAAAAGGTTCCTTAGATATTTATATTACTTAAAGTTCAATGTTTATCCATCTTTTCCGTTGTCGCTTTCTTACAGGGAAATGCTAGGGATATTTGAAATGCAACAACTCTCAGTTAGAAGAAGTGTACAAACTATTATTTTCATATTTTATATTATTCATAATATTAAATTTAAAGACTGCTTATTTATTAATTACATCCAATATCATGTTCCTGAAATAAATCTAAGATGTAACACCTACAATACCTTTCATGTGTGTCCAACTAGTTGTTTTCCTATGAATGCCATGTTGAGTGAATGTATTTCGATCTTCACTCTTGATTTTAGGTTATTGTGTTCTCATTTTAGCTGAAATATAAGTATTGTTGTACATATTTACCGAGATTTTTACCGATTGTTCTGTTGTAAGTTATTTTTTCTACGAGCGTACGAGAAATGACTCTTCCCGCACGATTTACTGTGCGGGAAGACTTTTTTCCCGCACCAGTGCGGGAAGAGATTTCTTCCCGTACTCAGTGCGTGAAATAATCATTGTGACATGGAATTGTTTGTATTGTTGATACACCTATACCTTTACCCTTAATACCTTTACCTTTTTTTTATAAATACCTTTCAATACTTTTTTAATTCTACCTTCTGCACAATTCGCATTTTATTTAAATTAAACTAAGAGCTTTAGTATACTCGTAGAAAAAATATAGTTCCTAACTCTTGCGGGAAGAAATTTCTATACATTTTACTGTAAGCTGTTACTTTCTCTTTTTTTTTCTGTTTTAAGCTTTAGCATTTTTTAGTAACCACACTTGCTTGTAATTACCTTTTGGGTGTTTGTAAGGTGTTCCTTAAATAAATAAATAAAAAAATAAAAAGTGATAATATTGTGACGAGTCAGTCGATTTGCATGAAGTAGATTGATGATCATGATTGAGTTGTTCCAGTCATCTGGAATATTTGGATTGTGGATGCAAAGGTTGAAAAGTTCTTCGATGTTTTCGAATAATATTTTGCGGTCCATTTTTATTGTATCTGTGACCTGAATTCACCTGAATCACCTGAAGCTTTGTATTACTTCTTCTTTTTAAGAACATTGTTAACCTCCTTTGCAGACATGTGAGGAATGTTTTCTGAACCCTGATTCATCAATTACTCTTCTTTGCTCATGTTCCGTAAAGTCCAAAAAAATCTCCACAATACGTGGTAAGTGTTTCCTGTCCATTGTTTGTTGTACTACCAGTTTCTCTTTTCGATTGAAAATTTCTTGATTCTCATTGGTGCCATTGACAAGTTTCCTACACATTACCTTTATACTTTTGTTTTCCTCGATTGTATTATCACGGATTCCCGGTTCATTGAAACTCATTTCACAATAAACAGTAACAAATTTTGTTAAACTAACTGACTTTATAAAATTCACTTATCACTTATTGATGTGGTAACCGGGGGATTGAAAGGAATCGTTTATTTGGTACAATGTTTTATCGCGGTCAATTATCAAATCAAATCAAATCAAATCAAAACAAATAATGCTTTATTGTCCAAGAAAACCTATTGACAAAGCTGACCTTAAACCTAAGAATAACTTAATGATAAAATGAAAAGCCACAAGTCTAGTTTGTTTTAATACTATCATTTTCAGGTCCTAAAATCCATTATTGAAAAGACAATTAAAATACAATTTATACACCTGAAGAGCAAACTAAGTAGAGTGTGCAACATACAAATGTGAAAACAGTCATCTTAAAAATAAAGAAATAAATAAGAAAACATAAAATCAGTGCTTGCAACAAAAACAATTCAAATATATGAAAAGATACAAATGCAAAGAACAGTCATAATTAAAACAAATACATACAGAAAATTAATCTTTAAATATCAAATCATCAAATCAAATCAAAATACGCTCCAATGTAAAAGATACAGATCTTATTTACAAGGCTAAGATTAGAGTATATAACGATAATTAAAATTAGTCATTTCAATTAAACAATTACGAATTCTTAATACATACAATACAAAAGGCAAAAGGCAACACATAGTAGAATATTGAAAAAAAAAAAAAACAAGAATTCAAAATGTAAATAGAACGGACAAACACCTACAGTACATACAGTCACATTATCAAAAGTTTATCAAAAAACATCCACATAAAACTCCTCAAGGGTACCTATAGTAAAATCTGTCAGCCAATAGCTTTTTTACTGCCTTTTTAAAGCATCTTAAATTATTAATTTTTCTCAAGTCCCGGGGGAGATGATTATACAGCTTTCTACTCTCATATATGATAGATTTTTTAATCTTTTCGCTAGTCGGGATTGGCAAGCGAAGACTGTCACTATTACGTGTAGTGTAGTTTGATTTGAGGCAAAACTCAGAATGTTAGTTTTCTTGACATTAAACATTAACTGATTAGCATCAAACCACTCTTTAACCTTTGGAAGGTCAGAGGCAATTTTTTGTTGTAAATGATCGTTATTGTTATCATGCCATATAATCGTGGTATCGTCAGCAAATAATGTGAATTTGCCATCTATTCCTAGTTTAGTTAAGTCATTCACATACAACAAAAATAGCAGTGGACCCAGTACTGAACCCTGTGGAACTCCCCAAGAAATACTCGTCATGTCAGATGAAATCCTACCATTAACCACCCTCTGACAGCGCATTCTCAGATAGGACTCGAACCACTGGCAGGCGACACCGCGGAAGCCATACTGATGCAGCTTCGCCAAAAGTATATCATGACTGACACAGTCAAACGCCTTCGTCAGATCACAAAACACAGCGGCCGCAAGCTTCCCATCATTTATTTTAAAATATAGGTGCTCCAGAAATTTGTAGATTGCGTCACTAGTACCCCTCCCAGTGCGAAATCCAAACTGGTACGGATTAAGAATATCCATATTTCCAAGAAACGAAGACATTCTGGACTTTGTTAGTTTCTCAATGATTATATAGAGGGTGGATAATAACGATATTGGCCTGTAATTACCCGGAATGTCGCTATCGCCGCCCTTATAAAGTGGAATCACTTTAGCACTCTTCAAACAGGAAGGAAAAACGCCTGTAGACCATGGAAGATTTATAGACTGAACCAAAGCCAAAAGTGCTGGACGCGACAAATTGACGAAGACGCTTGTTGAAAGATCATCATCCCTGAGGAATTCTTATTTTTTAATGACTTTATTACAGCGACTACCTCGTTTATATCAGTAGGGTCGAAATAGAATGATTGACAAGGTTGAGGAATGTCAACAAGATAAGTCATGGGGTCAACAGAATCCTTTAACTGATCATTCAGAGCATTCAATAGGTGGTAGACGCTTTTTACTCATTGGGCGTCGACCGGTGAGACACCATGCCAGAATTGAGTAGCGCTAAGTGGTATCACCACGTTCCGCTACTGCGCTGGCAGTCCGGTTCCAACAATGAGTAACAGATAGCATGATGGCGCCTCCAGGATCAAAATATTCCGGAGGTAAAATACCCGACCACTCGGATCTCCGGGCGTCGGGTGATCCTGGGGGTCCTTCATGCAAAGATATAAAGAGAAGATCAAAAACTCAACTCAGAATTGATTTTAGCAATATAAGAGGAATAAGTACAAATATGAATTCAGTTCACCAACATCTTGAAGAACAAAGACCTGACATCCTTGTTCTCACTGAAACTAAAATCAGTTCTGCAACACCCATTGTGAACTATCTTTATCCCGGCTATGACCTACACCACCGATTTCGACATAATTTCGGGATCTGTGTGTACAATAAAAATGACCTTTCATGTCATCGAGAGGAGAAGCTAGAACCAGCGAACCTTGATATCATATGGCTAAAATTCACCTCAAAGTCATCGACCAAGTTTATCTGCTGCCTCTACCGACCGCCATCTAACACCGAGTACCAAAACTTTTTCGCGACATTATCCGAAAACTGTGATAGTATACAGTCAAACTATCCACAGGCGGAAATTGTCTTTTTAGGCGATTTCAACGTCCACAATATACCCTGGCTGAAACACCACAACAAAACAGATAACGAAGGCAGAGAAGCAGAAGCTTTTGCCATAAGTTGTGGTCTAACGCAGCTTGTCGATGAACCTACCCGTATCTCAGAAAGGGGCGAATTTGCAGCGCTTTTAGACTTGTTCCTAACCACAAATCCTGACTCGTACACAATTCAAGTAGATGCTTCACTTGGTTCGTCCGATCATAAACTTATAATAACAAAGTGCGAAATGCTCATCCCACCAAGCCAACAACCACTTCCTCGTAAAATGTGGCACTATAAATCGGCAGAATGGAATGACCTAAAACAGTTTTACCTGGATTTTCCATGGAAAGAGGTTTGCTTTAAAACAGCTGATCCCACTATTTGCTGTAATGAAATAACACAAGTAATCTTATCTGGAATGGATGCATATATCCCACATACAACTAAACGTAGAGCTAATGCAAAACTTTGGTTCAATAGTCAAACGACTGTACAGAAAAAACACAGAGCATATAACCTTTGGAAACGACAACAAACCGCTCAAAACTACACTGAATTTATAGAAGCCAGAAATAGTTGCAAAATTACTATTGACTCCGCTAAAGAAACATACAATCAAAGAATAAAAAACAGGTTGCTGAATTGTCCAAGTAGTTCTAGGTCCTTTTGGTCTCTTGCAAAAGCTGTTGGATCTAACTTCACCAAGTCATCCATACCACCACTTACAGATAAAAATAATCACTTAGCCACAACATCAGAGGAAAAAGCCAATATGCTGGCCCAAATGTTTTCCTCCAACTCCAACCTAACAGTGCCAAACGGAAAAACTCCACCGTTCATTGAAAGGGTTTCCCATAGTATGCCAGAGGTACCCTTTTGTCACAGAGAAATACGAAAATCCCTTAAAAAGCTAGATACAAACAAAGCAATGGGTCCGGATGGCATTCCCGCAATAGTACTCAAAAATTGCGCCAACGAACTCACCCCAACTTTCGCAAAATTATTCAATTTGTCTTACAGGCAAGGAGTATATCCATCATCATGGAAGTCTGCCGCAGTACAACCCATTCCAAAGAAAGGAAAAAAGACAGATCCGTTAAACTATAGACCAATTGCTCTACTTCCGGTGATATCAAAAGTAATGGAAAGAGTTGTGAACAATCGCCTAACCAAGTACTTGGAAAAGTACAAAATTATCAACGATAAGCAATACGGATTTCGAAAATATAGGTCAACTGGCTATTTACTTACATACGTCACTCACTTATGGCAAAAAGCGATTGAGTTGCGGGGTGAAACAAGAACAATTGCCTTAGATATATCTAAAGCATTCGATAAAGTTTGGCATGAAAATCTGCTCAACAAGCTCAAAGCAATGGGATTATCGCCGAAACTTTGCACTTGGTTTGAAAGTTACCTAAAGGACAGATCCATTTATGTTGCACTGGATGGCCAGAACTCCAACTCTTACCAAATAAATGCTGGTGTGCCACAGGGAGCAATCCTTTCGCCAACTCTTTTTCTGATTTACATAAATGACCTCATAGATAAAACAGTAAATCCACTTTATTGCTTTGCAGACGATGGCAATGTAGTCTCCTCACTCATACCACCCACAGGTCTTTCCGCACGTGAATTTCATCATCTTAGACTAACTCAAATAACGCAAATAAATAACGACCTGGAGATAATAGAGGACTGGGGTAACAAAAACCTTGTACAGTTCAACGCGCAGAAAACCCAAGCAGCTCTGTTTTCAAAAAAGACCAGCACCGGTGAGCCAAACATCATGCTATCTGGAAGTGCTGTCACATTACAGAGTCAGTTGAACATCTTGGGGGTTACTGCAGAGACCAACATGTCTTGGCACAGTCACGTGGCAGATATTGCTAAAAGGGCCTCCCAAAAGCTGGGGGTGCTATTTCGTACAAGACATCTGTACACACCAAGCCAATTGCTGACACTCTACAAAGCCCAGATTCGACCAACTATGGAGTACTGCTCACATATATGGAGTGCAGCACCCAAACATACCTTAATGCTTTTGAATACCGTGCAAAAACGAGCTATCAAGCTGATCAATGACCCCGCACTTACTCGTAACTTGGATGGTCTCGAACATCGCAGATCTGTGGGCGATTTATCTCTCTGCTACAGGTACTATCACGGAAAATGCTCTGAAGAGTTGGCACGTATGATTCCACCGAGAGTAGCACCTACCAGGCGAACCCGTCAAACAGACGGTAACCATGAATTTACTGTCAAACTAGAGGCACCAAGAACCTCATTATATCAGAATTCATATCTCTGGAGAACAGCATCGCTGTGGAATAAACTCCCTGCGACGGTTTTCCCTGCAGGTTACAACCTGAACCGTTTCAAGACCAACATACACCGACATTTCCGCGCACTTGCCGCTTCTCGAGCGTGATAGGACATTTCCTTCCGAGTGCGCATATCCGTAAAAAAAAAGAGCTTTAGTGATATTGCAATAATAATTATTTAAGATGTTTGGGCAAAGAGTGGGCTGCTGTTTTCTGTTGAAATTATTGGCTTGCCTTATATCATTAACAATAGCCCAACTTTCTTTTTGTTTATTTTTAGTTTCAGCAAGTCTACAAGCATAATGGGAGGCTTTTGCCATTCTTATTAATTTCCTAAAAAGAGTGCGATACTGGCTAAAGTCAGATTGAAATGAAAGACTGTCTGTATATTTTCTAATTGTATGCAAGCTTCTTAGATTAGCAGATGATGTTTTAAGACCCCTGGTTATCCAAGGTTTTTTCTTTTTCTTCCTAATTTTCATGTGCTGCAGAGGAAAGGCTTCGTTAAAGCATTTTGTAAGAATAAAATGGTAAGTCCCCAATGGATCATCAGGCACAGAAATACCATCCCAACTGTGAGCAGAGCATAGCTGACAGAATCTACCATAGTTCCCTCTACTAAATAGCCTACCAGTTTTATATTTGGGTGTCATTTTTTTTAAATGAAAATCAGTAGAACAGTGCACCGCTTCATGGTCTGAAAGCCCACAATTTATAACATTACAAGTCAAGTCAGAATCAAAATTTGTACATAAATAATCTATCATTGAGCGTGAATACTGTTTAATACGAGTGGGACCGTTAACATGCATTTTAAGATTGTGGGAATCCAATAAGTTCTGAATCTGTTGTTACAAATTACTCTAGATTTGTATACTTTAAGGAAAAGATAACCTAGGGTCGTGAATTCAAAGAAAAATTAAGATAACGTGCAGTCCCTTTATGTGCAAATGAAACCACTCAAAAATCCAACAAACAATAATTTTATTTTTTTGTACATACAATGTTATGTAAAATATGTAAAATGTCACTGCTAAGAGCTTGGTTATTTTGGTGAATCTGATACCAAGTACCTGCTTTCCAATCCGGAGCTCTTCAAGGGGTGTTGGGGTTTCACTTTCGTGAACTGGAGCTTTTCGTATTGTTTCCTGTATCCAGGAAGAGGATAGATTGCTGGGGTGACGTCACTCCAGCTGATCCAGACTCCAAACAGTGATCTTTATGCAGAGTAGGTACCCAGAAAAGAATAAGGCAGTATCAGGTTCACCAATATTTGGAACATTAAATTCCTGAATTCTGTCAAAAAGTGGGTGTCTTACAAAAGAAATTGAAGTTGAAATTTGGTATAAAATGATTGTTGTACAGACACTCCCCTTCAACAGAATCAGGTATGAAAAACTATTGCAAGTTAGAAAATTAATATTTTAATATAAAAAAAAACAATTAAATAATTAAGATTAATTGTAAGATAATAAAAAAAAATAATAACAAGATTAAATTAGAATGCTCGTTACAATAATTGAGCAAAATGCTGCTTCCTTGAAAAACAGCTCTGGCAGGCATAAATACAAGAGAAAATATGAGCAAAAATAAGGTAAGTAAAAAAATTAAGATATCAAATGTCTGGATTCCTCCCCAAATAGACAAAATTCCTACCTCGAATTAAGTTAGTTACCACAGATACTAGATAAACCTCGAGATAAACCTAGGGTTGAAATTAATCAAATCCAGAATGTGTCAAAATTCTTGAGATGTTTTAATTAAAACTTTTAAACTGAATTTTTGACCTGTCTGGATTTCTATTAAAAAATTACACCCTCTAGTTAAGATAATAATTTAAGGAGTCAAGCAGAAAATGGCTGTTCAGGCCTCTGTCTGGATTCAATAAAGGATTAATGGGGATGGACTCACAAATTTGGTTTTCACCGACTCTATTTAGAGCAATTGGTCCAGTTTTCCCACACTAAAAATTGATTCTGAAAGCCAGAGCAGCAGTACCTATTTAAAACCAAACTGTCTTGTCTTGACTTACTAATTACAACAAAACGTGGCACTAACCAATAAACAAAGTAATTCACACAAAATGGAAGCCAACAATTAGATAAAAAAAAATTAAAATATAATATTTATATTTCAAAAAACAGATAAGATAAGGTTTATCAGTAAAAACATAATAAAGATAGGATAATTTGAATATTGAAAAATCTATAGGGCAGGATCCAAAAATTCAAAGCACATAAATTATTTAAAAAAAATAGAGGACTTGCCTGGCCAGAGTGTTCTTCAAAAGGAGAGCGTTTTAGAGAACCTAGCTAGCAGGAAAACGAACCTGTGTTTTTTTATACTTACTGCATTCCAGCCAGTTTGAACCAATCAAACGAGTACACTCCCAAAGACCATATTCACTTCAAAATGAAAACAAAATGAAAAGACCGCATGGAATAAATGAAAATAGATAAAAATCCACTAAAACTATTTTAATTGTTTACAAATTATAATAATCTAAATTAAGGTTATGTCAAAGATAAAAGACTGTTAATTAATTGGATCATTAAGCCAAAAATGAATATTTAAAAAATAAGAAGGTAAAAAAGGACAGAAATATATCCATTTGCTAAAAGTGAGATGAATATAATTTCTTTCAATTAAATACAAATAACTGCCAAATGCGAAATAAGAAATCATACTTTGAAATATAGATCGATCATCGGGCACTAGATGGCAGTACTAAAAAATCTATTCTTGATACTTGCACTTTACGCAAATGTAGATAGATGGCAGCACTTGTATTACTTGAATTTAAATTTGAATTTAATGGATATTTTTAGAATATTGGAAATTATTTTGAATTCTGAAATGAAAAAAATACAACTTTATAATGAAAATAAGAAGAGATGGAACATGTTACGTAAAAGATAAATTTATCGTAACACTGTAAGGTGTTACCTGTACCACTATCCAAAAAATTCACATTCAAGTCCCCAGACAGAATAATTTTGCAATTGATAGGCATAGAAGACAAAAGTACTTCTAACCTTTGTAGAAAGTGATTGAAATTTGAGTTGGGTGAACGGTAGATACAAAGAATATATAAATTGCTGTCCTTTGAATGCATCAATGAAAATTCAAATACCTTCTCCTCTAAATACATATTAAATTCCGATGCCTGTTTGAAACCGTAGACCAAAAGCGACCCTTCGTTTACCAATATAAGAGTTCTACCATGAATGCAATCACTCCTACAATATTTAGACATCAAAGTATAATTGGGAATATAAAAAATTTCATCCTGCTTTAGCCAATGCTCCGTTATACACACAACATCCGGGAAGTTTCTGCTAAAAAAATTGAAAGTTCATCAATTTTATTTTTTATTGAATGGATATTCAGTAAAATAAGTGAAAGTTGCGTATTAGTCGCTAATGTCGAGCTACCCGAGTTACCAAAGGCATTTCTAAAAAATATCTTTGAGTTACACCAGTGTTATGTGTATTACTGTAGGAATCTTTGTCTGAGCCGGAGGAAGAGTCATAGCCCGAGTGAACGACGTTTGAAAGAGAGTCATTCTTACAGAAATTCAATTATCAACACGCAAGTAGACTTTGGAGATTGCAATATGGCACTCCGCGATCCGGACTAGGACCGCTTCGTTGTGTGCAGCAAACGTTCTTGTTAGGCGGCTGATTACAGATGGCCTGGTCGTCATCGTTCCGGAAGTGACGTCCGCAGTCGGACCTTGCTAGCTATTACCCTCTAGTCGGAGTTATTAGTTACCTAGGAGTCTCTATTGGCAACCTGGCTGTACCTAGGCTGCCTCACAATTGAACCGTATATGACAAGTACCTATTGAATTAAAACTAAAACTAAACCTATAACTACGCGTTTTCTATAGTTGAAATCGCACTTCTTAGAAAAACATCGAATCGAATTAAATAGATTTCCCAGGAAAGGCGGGCTGCCCGTCGTAAACAAGTACCTACCTGATTTCTTAGAATCTCGGTCGGTTCGGAAAGTGATCTTGTTGACTCGGTTTTTTCATATGTTTAATTAAACAGAATAAACAATGGAGGTAATTTTTGGAGTATGTGTTTTTTTAAGTGTATGATGATGCTTTTCTATTATTTTAGATCTGGAATTGGCGACTTAAATTTTACAAAAATCCATTGAAAGAGAAAATCGCTTGCTTGCGTTTAGGCTGATAAGAGAAAATCCACAAGTTGCTGGCTGTTCAGGTGGTGCAACTAATTCAAACTGCACCTCAACACTCACAACCTCAAGACAGTTTTGATGAAATGGGCATAATTGGGGAAAAAGCATCTGATCTCACCGATAAGTCTAGTGAGTACCTGATTTCACAAGACAAAAAAAATCACAACTATTTTATTTCTTATTTTTCTTAGTGCTCTCAAATAGATGGTCTAATAAGGAAGTAAAACTCCTAATAACATTATATAGGAAAAATTTACCAAAATTTAAAGAAAAAAATTTCCGTCCAAAGGCAATCGTCTCTGATATATCGAAAGAGTTTACAAGATTCACTGAGAATCAAATTGAAACAAAAATTAAAAATTTAAAAAAAAACCCACAAGATAATATTGACAACAAAAGTACTAAGCGAGGAAAAATCACATGGCCTTATTTTGACTAGAGGAACGAAATTTTCAGCGATGATCCTGAAAATGAACCAATCAGCATTGCATCAAGATCAGCCGGGGTTCAAACTCCTAATATCTGAGAGAAGCGACACAGATGATGAAACATCAAAGCAAAAAAACGACAGCCTGAATCCACTGAATGGTTAAGTTGTGATGAAATTAAAAATCATTAAAGTTTCAAAAATCGTTCTATTGTATTATATTCTAACTTTGGTAGGTACCTATATAATATGTTTTGTATCAAGTATCTTCACTGGAAAACCCAGCATTTTTTTTTAAAGAATGGATGCAATATTCTCTCTAATTCTCCAAAAATATCATCATTAAATTGTAGAAGCTGATCACCATCTACATCAATATTGTCCTGAGCCTGCATGCAAACGTTGTGCAAAATACAGCAGGCCAATATAATTTTTGGTATATTTCCAGTATTCAAAACATTCACAAATTTCAATATTTCAAAGACATGTTCTATGACAATTCTTGAAGCAGATAATTTTCTGTTAATGTTTTTTTGTCTAGCAGTCAAATGATCATTGTCCCTAAAAGGTGTTATTATGAATTTTGATAATGGATATGCTGAGTCTCCCAGCAAATGTGAATCATTATGAAATATTTCATTCGGACTTGCTTGAATTTTCTGACTTATATCAGATCTCCTGAAAACTCGACTGTCATGCATGCGGCCTGCTGGTCACTCTAAAACAAACAAAAACTGTATGCATGCTTACAAATTATTTACGCTGTACTATTATTTCCAAAAATGCAAAGCAGCCTAATACTTATCACAAGACACATCAAGATTATTGAACAATAGCATTTCCTATTGACATATGAGTCTCCTCTCGGTGAAGATTTTAATATAGGAATATGGCTTCCGTCTATACAACCAACCATTCCAGGAAATCCATTTGTTAATTCAAAATTCTGACTGATACGCTCTGCTTCCTCCCTTGTAGGCCATTTTATAAATTTGTTTCTTATAGCAATTAGGCCATCTAAAACTCTATATATAACATCATAAGCAGTACTCTTATTGGTGACGTTGAACCTGTCAGCGATTGATCTGTAATTCACGAAGAAGATGCTTTTTAGGCTCAAAGATAAAAATATTTAATATAGGTGCTCAAATCCTAAACGACTCCCCCCAACAACACAAGCAGTGTTTTGAAAAGTAGTTAAAGGTAAAGACCTAACGTCAAATCGTTATTACTCTGAAAACGAGCTAAACCGCGATCAGCTGATATTAACCTACTCGATCCAGAATTTACATTTCCGAAAGCAGCTACTGATGCTTGTCAACTATTTTAGAGAGATGTTCCGTTCCTAAATTGTCTTGTTGCATTTCTCAACCATTTCATCTGATTGTGGATGCAATACTGTGCTTCTGGACTTGTGAATGCCTAGCAGTTCGCTAAGTTTCTGAAATTCAATCCTAGTAAAAACATTATTGACGCGAGGACTTTTGCAACTCTAGATGCTTCTTGATTTGAAATACCGACAACTTCAGGCCACTTGCTGAAATAATAATTCATGGCAACCAAGGTGTACTTAATGCCACTGGGCGTAGAAGGAAATCGACAGGCTATGTCTATTGCAATTAATTCGAAAGGCATCCTCACGTTGTACTTGGTGTCGCATATTGTCGGCACCATGTCTTGAAATCCTGGTAATAGTTCACCCAATATAATCTCTCCATGTAACTTCTCCAGCCATCTTTCTACTTGTCTTTCTGGTGTTTTATGTTTAGATTCCATTTGAGCGATGCATGGCCTGTTCTAATGAGAAATTCTTGTGCATTATAGGTGTGCATTATAGGCTGATAGTTCCTTTTTTGTAAGGCAGTAATTTCTCTCTGGCTTGGTAAGCACTCTACTGTAGTATTCTTTCCTTTCTTCCCAATCCTCTATTTGCGACTGGACAGCTCTGATACATGTGCGGTTCGCGTCTGTGTTCAAAATAAATTTTCCATATACCCGTGGGTAGCCTATTATAGGACTAGACATAGAGCTGCCTTTAACCTTCCGAAAGCTACGTCACAGTCTGTAGTCCAATCAAAAATAACTTTTTCTTCAGTAAGTTAATGCAACGGCGCTGCTACCTTAGCAAATCCTTCTACAAATTGTCTGTAGTGGGACAAAACCTAAGGAAACTTCGGAGTTCATGCTTGTCCCGAGGTCGAAACTATTCACGAATTGGATTTTCCTCTCCTCAGTAGGAATTTCTTCGGGTGAAACTACGTGGTCAAGAAAGTCAACGCGCTGTTGGAAGAGTGAACATTTCTTGTCATTAAATCGATGGTTTCTCTTACGGATGCGGATAAATACTTCTTGTAAGTTTCGTAGGTGCTCATAGAAAGTTTTTCTCATCACTAATACATCATCCAGGTTGACAAGTCATACTTTCCACGTAAGTCCTCGTAGTACGATTTCTATCAAACTCTCAAAAGTAGCGGAGGCGTTACAGAGTCCAAAAGGCATTACCTTCCACTTCCAGTGGAGAACGCTGTCTTCTCTCTGTCATTTTCGTCCATGTCCACCTGTCAGTACCTGCTTTTCAAATCCAGAGTGGAAAACCAATTTGAGTCTTCCAATGTCGTAAGGGTATTGTTAATTCTGGGTAATGATTAGCTGCTTTTCTTAGTGACATTGTTAAGCTTTCTGTAATCGACGCAAAATCTGGAAGATCTATCTTTCTTTGTTACTAGTACAATTGGCGATGACCACGGACTTGAAGACTCTTCAACAACTCAATCTGCGAGCATACTGTCTACGAATGACTCCACTTCTTGTTGTTTGGTCATGGGAAGTCTTCTAGATGGTTGACGGATTATTTGAGCACTGCCAGTATTGATTGCATGCTTGATGATGTTCATCAGTTCCGCCATTTTTACTCTTGAAGATATCTTTAGAACTGTTGAGTCTTCTTTAGTTCTGTAGAGGAAAGATGTTGCCAAGATGTTTCGAATTGTCTTAGAATGTCTCTGGATGATTTATTTCTTTTCTTTCTTTGATATTCTTCAGCTTATTTCTTAAGTATTTCTATCTTAAGCGGTATTAAGGTTTATTTTTTCAATTTTTTTTTTGTTTTTAATTTTTTTTGACTGACCTTTTTTTTCTGTCCTGCTCATGAAGGTTTCATAAACCTTGGTTTCATGAAATTAGAATATTTTGAAATTATTTGTTGTTTCAAATTGACAAATTTATTTTGTTTTTGCTTCTATTATGAGTAGGTACTACTACACTTTAGCAATATTATTTTTCAAGAAAAAAGTTGATTTTTAGTGAGTCTAGTTTCTGCAGGTAATGGTCAACTTTTATTCCAAATGTAGATTTGAATAGATACCTACATGTAGTAAAGCTTCTTATGTAAATCTGAAAGTATCTCTCCAACAATTTATAAATACCCACTATGAAACTAAAATAACCTCGATAAAAGTTTCCAATTTTCGAATTTAAAACAAAATCAATATTTCTTAGCTGTATAATTTATGTTATTTTTGACATAAAACATCAAAGTATCTCAAGAGACAGACGATAAACCTCCATAATGATTTGCCCGTTTCTGGGAAAAATCCCCGACGTTAAAACATCCTTTTCAAAAGCACTAATTGCTGCTAATATTTCAGTTCAGTGCACCTCTTTTTAACGTTTTTTTTTTTTAATACAAATTAAACAAAATCCGATTTTCTTCTTAAGAAAAAATTGCGCCAGTGAAAAGAAGAGGTGTAATCTTTTCGATACGGTTTTCAATAATAAAGCGTAATAACCTATTTCATCTTGATGAGGACTTTGCGTAATAAGTTACCCTTTCAATTAAAAACATTTTTCAATAGGCTACCTACGTTTTTAATTTTAAAAATAATAAATAAATGAAATTGAATAAATAGTCTTCAATCTTTTACCAATCCTTTATGAAATATCGTGATAGGTTTACAAATAAACTATACAACAACAACTAAACATCCAGGCAAAATTGTAGTTTTCTTGTCAATCAACATTTGAACCTTAGCTTTCATTCATTTCCCTATAGAAAATTGATGATTATTGACTCACATTTATTTTTCATCCAATCAATGTGATGATACCGAAGGGATTTTTGGTTTTAAAATATGGAATCAAAAGAAGTTGTTTTGAGGGCGAACACGAAAAAGTTGGGGAAAGTCTCCAAATTTAAGTATAGAGCAAATAAAAGCCGCAAAGATCAATATTATCACGTATTTTTTGTTATTGAATACATTTTTGTATTAGAGTAAGCGATTACGTTCCCAAAAGAAGGAGAAAACGATGAAGAAGTATTTTTAATAGGGTTTTTAAAACGGCACGGTTTGTTGAACTTGAAAAGAGAAATAAATGCGTTGTGTCGGGATTTAGTCGGAGGGGCCTTAGGTAAGATGTATTTCTTGGCTTTCAATAAAAGGGTGGAATATAAGGAATTAAAAATAAATGGAAACTTTTTCCATAAGTCCTCGGTTAGATTACAAATAATGAAAGCCGAGCTCGTATTGCGTTTTCGGAGTTTAATAGTCTTATGGTACATCTCGAAGAATTAGACGCTATACCCAAGAACGGAATACAGGGTGAATGTGAATCTTGATCTAAAACAGATTTTCAAGTTTTGAAATTCGACTTAATGAGCGTGGTGTGATATAGTTTGTTCACACAAAAAAGTAGGCAATAGTATATTACATTAGGAGTGTAGAAAGTGACAAATTTCACACGTGTGTTTTTTCAAAAATCGCACGAGTGTATGAAAGACACTTTCTTACAAGTGATGTAGACCATTTTTCCTACGACCAGAAACCTATTTACATCAATTTTCTCTTATTTTATTTCTTTTCATTTTCAACACACGTGCTGAAAGTACTTTCAATCCACGTATTGAAAGTAAATTGTTATGTCAATCACAAATAATGTCAACAGTATTTTCCACACGTGTGCTGAAAGTATTTTTAGCACGCGCAAGTATTGAAAGTACTTTCAGCACGCGTGTGATATTTGGCGCTCTCCAAAGAACTAGCCAGTGCGAATTTTGTCATTTTCGTATGTCGTCGTAGGAAAATAGATTTT